AGGGTCTGAATAAGTGTCTGAGTGTTTAAACCCTAATGCATGGGAAATGGCAAGTAAACACCATAATTACATATCTGGCATCATGCAAGAGGGTCTGAGTAAGGGTCCAAATGTTTAAACCGTAATGCATGAGAAATGGCAACTAAACACCATAATTACATATCTGCCATCATGCAAGAGGGTCCGAATAAGTGTCTGAGTGTTTAAACCCTAATGCATGAGAAATGGCAAGTAAACACCATAATTACATACCTGCCATCATGCAAGAGGGTCCGAATAATTGTCCGACTGTATAAACCCTTATGCATGAGAAATGGCAACTAAAAACCATAATTTCATATCTGCTATCATGCAAGAGGGTCCGAAAAAGTGTCTGAGTGTTTAAACCCTAATGCCTGTGAAACGGCAAGTAAACACCATAATTACATATCTGCCATCACGCAAGAGGGTCGGAATAAGTCTCCGAGTGTTTATACCCTAATGCATGAGAAATGGCGATTAAACACCATAATTACATATCTGCCATTTTGCAAGAGGGTCCGAATAAATGTCCGAGTGTTTAAACCCTAATGCATGAGAAATGGCGAATACACACCATAATTACATATCTGCCATCATGCAAGAGGGTCCGCATAAGTTTCCGAGTGTTTAAGCCCTAATGCATGTGAAATGGCAAGTAAACAACATAATTACATATCTGCCATCATGCAAGAGGGTCCAAATAAATGTCCGAGTGTTTAAACCCTAATCCATGAGAAAAGGCAAGTAAAGACCATAAATACATATCTGCCATCATGCAAGAGGGTCCAAATAAGTGTCCGAGTGTTTAAAGCCAAATGCATGAGAAATGGCAAATAAACACCATAATTACATATCTGCCATCATGCAAGAGGGTCCGAATAAGTGTCCGAGTGTTTAAGCCCTAATGCAAGAGAAATGGAAAGTAAACACCATAATTACATATCTGCCATCATTCAAGAGGGATTGAATAAGTGTCCGAGTATTTATATCCTAATGCCAGAGACATGGCAACTAAACACCATAATTACATATCTGCCATCGTGCAAGAGGGTCCGAATAAGTGTCTGAGTGTTTAAACCCTAATGCATGAGAAATGGCAAGTAAACACCGTAATTACATATCTGCCATCATGCAAGAGGGTCGGAATAAGTCTCCGAGTGTTGAAACCCTAATGCAGAAGAAATGGCGATTAAACACCACAATTACATATCTGCCGTCATGCCAGAGGGTCCGAATAAGTGTCCGAGTGTTTAAACCGTAATGCACGGGAAATGGCAAATAAACAACATAATTACATATCTGCCATCATGCAAGAGGGTTTGAATAAATGTCCGAGTGTTTAAACCCTAATGCATGAGAAATGGAAAATAAACACCATAATTACATATCTGCCATTATGCAAGAGGGTCCAAATAAGTTTCCGAGTGTTTAAGCCCAAATGCATGTGAAATGGCAAGTAAACAACCTAATTACATAACTACCATCATACAAGAGGGTCCAAATAAGTGTCCGAGTGTTTAAACCCTAATGCATGAGCAATGGCAAGTAAACACCATAATTACTATCTGCCATCATGCAAGAGGGTCCGAATAAGTGTCCAAGTGTTTATACCCTAATGCATGAGAAATGGCAAGTAAACACCATAATTACATATCTGCCATCATGCAAGAGGTTCGGAATAAGTGTCCGAGTGTTTAAACCCTAATGTAGGAGAAATGGCATGTAAACACCATAATTACATATCTGCTATCACGCAAGAGGGTCTGAATAAGAGTCCAACTAGTTAAACCCTAATGCATGAGAAATGGCAAATAAATGCCATAATTACATATCTGCCATCATGCAAGAGGGTCTGAATAAGTGTCCGAGTGCTTAAACCGTAATGCATGGGAAATGGAAAATAAACGACATAATTACGTATCTGCCATCATGCAAGTGGGTCCGAATAAATGTCCGAGTATTTAAACCCTAATGCATGAGAAATGGCGGATAAACACCATAATTACATATCTTCCATCAAGCAAGAGTGTCCGAACAAGTGTCCGAGTGTTTAAGCCCCAATGCATGTGAAATGGCAAGTAAACAACATAATTACATATCTGCCATCATGCAAGAGGGTCCAAATAAGTGTCCGAGTGTTTAAACCCTAATGCATGAGAAATGGCAAGTAAACACCATAATTACATATCTGTCATCATGCAAGAGGTTCGGAATAAGTGTCCGAGTGTTTAAGCCCTAATGCATGAGAAATGGCAAGTAAACACCGTAATTACATATCAGCCATCACGCAAGAGGGTCTGACTAAGTGTCCGAGTATTTATACCCTAATGCAAGAGAAATGGAAAATAAACACCATAATTACATATTTACCATCGTGCAAGAGGGTCCGAAGAAGTGTCCGAGTGTTTAAGCCCTAATGCATGGGAAATGGCAAGTAAACACGATAATTACATATCTGACATCATGCAAGAGGGTCTGTAAAAGTGTCAGAGTATTTATACCTTAATGCCAGAGAAATGGCAAATAAACACCCTAATTACATATCTGCTATCATGCAAGAGGGTCCGAATAAGTGTCCGAGTGTTTAAACCCTAATGCATGAGAAATGGCAAGTAAACACCATAATTACATATCTGCCATCATGCAAGAGGGTCGGAATAAGTGTCCGAGTGTTTAAACCGTAATGCGTGGGAAACGGCAACTAAACACCATAATTACATATCTGCCAACATGCACGAGGGTCCGAATAAGTGTCTGTGTGTTTAAACCCTAATGCATGAGAAATGGCAACTAAAAACCATAATTACATATCTGCCATCATGCAAGAGGGTCCGAATAAGTGTCTGAGTGTTTAAACCCTAATGCATGAGAAATGGCATGTAAACACCATAATTACATATCTGCCATCGCGGAAGAGGGTCGGAATAAGTGTCCGAGTGTTTAAACCCTAATGCATGAGAAATGGCGATTAAACACCATAATTACATATCTGCCATCTTGCAAGAGGGTCCGAATAAGTGTCCGAGTGTTTAAACCCAAATGCATGAGAAATGGCAAATAAACACCATAATTCATATCTGCCATCATGCAAGAGGGTCCGAATAAGTATCCGAGTGTTGAAGCCCTAATGCATGAGAAATGGCAAGGAAACACCATAATTACATATCTCTCATCATGCAAGAGGGTCCGAATAAGTGTCTGAGTGTTTAAACCCTAATGCTTGTGAAACGGCAAGTAAAACCCATAATTACATATCTGCCATCATGCAAGAGGGTCCGAATAAGTGGCTGAGTGTTTAAACCCTAATGCTTGTGAAACGGCAAGTAACACTACAAGAAATTGCACTTTTGGCGACGACGTCAATTTTTCATAGGCAAAACTATATTTTTGGCGACACAGTGATCAATTTCGTTGGTAAAAGTAGACCTTTACCGACGCAATTTACAATCGTCGCTAAAAGAGTATAACATTCACTAGGCGCCAAAATTATTGGTTGGCACCAAAATTTCAAAAATTTTAGCTACAAGGCTTATTTTTTAGCAACACAATAAGCGTCGCTATTAGTGTGCTTACTTTTGGCGACGACTAGTTGGTGTGGGCAAAAAGTCAAACATTTAGCGACGATAGCACTATTCGTTGGTAAAAACTTTGCTAGTGAAATCAGGTGATTTAGTGATTTGTGTTTTTATTATGACTTTTCAAAGAGTTTTAAATATTCTAGTTATTGAATTGTAAAATTAAAGTGATCATCGAATTAGATCACAAAATGAACCCATCAAGCCCAAACACACTCTTAAGCTTAGATGGCTAATTTGAGATAATCTAAACTTTTCGAAGAATGTTAAATTATCAATTTTAATATATTTTGTTTTATTTTCAGAAACTTGTTTCAGATTTTTTTTTTTCCTGAAAAACTTTAAAAAAATTTGGTGAAAAAATAAAAAAATACTTATTATTTTTGTGTAATTTTATCTTTTAGGAGATCATAAATAATTTAAAAATATATTTCTAATTTTTATAGTTCTCAAATTAGTTTTAATTTTTTTAAAAGAATTAAAAATTATTTTATTTTTATTTTATTTTTTTGGTGATCTATCTTTAAAAATTGAGGCGGTGAAAAGTTACCTCTCAAAATTTTCTCTTTTTTTCTAGGAGGTAAACCCCTCGTTACTCTCAAAATTTCCCCTTTTAATTTTCACAATGCACAATTTATATCGTGAATGATATTAATAAATAAATAAATAAAAGCGCCAATGACCAAAAATGTATTACGAACTGAACTGTGGCTTCTAATTGGGTTCTAAAAGGAAGTTTTTTTTGGGTGAATACTAAAAGGAAGTTAGAAAGCTGTAAATTAGATAACCTAGAAGAGAGCGAGAAGAGAGAAGGTTCGAAGGGGAGAGTGGTTCAGCGGCGCCAGATTTCGAAGGGGAACGATCGACGGCGTCAGCGATCGACGGTTTGGCGAGACCGGTTCGGCGGCGAGATTGGTTCTTCTCTTCGATCTGTAAAAAATCTCAGGTATGTTCGGATTCCCCGCCTCTCTCTCTCTCTCTCTCTCATTCATGTAAAGCACTATGTAAACATTTGGGGTTGTAGTCTCTTACGGTGGAGGATCAACAATTGACGATTGCGATATTTCATACGATCTCATGTTGTATGGGACAATTTTTGAGATTTTTGAATGACATAAGAATATGACTAGATACACTTGGGAATTCAATAAATTTCATATGCCTTGTGTAAGTGGATCCTAATCATGTTATTAACACAACACAATATGATCTCATCTTGTATAGGAACATCTGTGGGATTTTAGAGTCAAATAAGCATATGATTAGAGCACGTGGGAAATTAAACATTGGGTTTCATAGACCTTGATTAAGTAGATACTAGTCATGGATGTCTGAAAAGCGTTAATTGTAACCATTTATACTAAATCGTAATGTCTGCTGTTGATTCATGAATAACTTTCTGAGATGTGTTACTTGGCAACCGAAGATCATGAATGTGCTTGTGCAGGACAGGGATTGTATAATTTCAGGGTATATTTATTAGAAATCTTGAATTAGAACAGATTAGATATGACTATTCAGTTAGGAAGGTTTATATGGTGTTGGAATATAGTATGAAGTAAAGCAGAAAAGAGATAAGTTTTAGGAAAATGCAGTTGATGTCCAGTTTCTGGTCTATAAAATTCAGAATAAGAGAGAAATGTGTGTAATATTCATTGCTTTTGGATTGGCTTATCAATCCAGGAAAATCATCCTTAACCATGTTCCTTGACATAACGTTGAAAAGAATATCAGTGTTTCCGATTCAAGTCTACTGCAATACATATTGCTATGGTTCCACAATGATATTGACTGACTTAAATAGATTGTCCTGTATCGCTATATCATTAGTGGGAGAGATATTTTTGAAAGTGTTGAATAATGAACTACAATTTGGATAACTTTTACTACATAATGTTGTGATAAATAACAATGGGCTTGGAACCAAACATTGCCTAAAGTTTTTGAAGTCTATTGCTAATCATTTCCATATCCTAAGATTGATTGACAACCACAAAAAGAATCAAAACTTGACATATTAAAGCTGCACGTGAATCAGCAAAGAACATAAAAAGAAAAGGAGAAGAAAGAAATAAAATTAAAAAGCTACTGTCGTCCTTGTATGCAATAATTGCTCTTACATTAGCCTGCCATAAATTCTTGAGAAAAAACATCAATATAGTTCAAAATGATGACACAATGTAACTTGTAAGTTGGATGTTTCTGGTCCTTGTACATAGGGTGGTTGCATCCAAGCATAAAAGTGAAGCCACGTGAGAAAACAAATATACCTTAATGCTTATCAATGTTCTAATTATCAATGTTCTAAAAATATCAAATTACATTTTTTTTTTGTCAGGTGTTAAAATTAGTGGGTTAGTGAATTAGTTAGTAGTAAGTTAAATTACTACTTATAAACATTCAATGCTTCACCATAAATTCAAACTCAGAATCTCCTCTAATTTATTTCTTAGAAATCAAGGAGTATAACCACTTGAATGTTTGGAAAAAAAATTAAAAATAAAACCCAAGGATCTCAACCACTTGACCTAAACTTAAGTTCTTCATAAAGCTATCAATTGATCCATATTAAAAATAGAAAAACAGTTTAGCCTTTAGCATAATTTGACACAAAGTGACAAATGTAAAGCAATAAATATATACATATTGTAAGTACATCTACAAAAGCATTTTGTTTATGCCCATTATTCAATATTCTACCTAAGTATGTAATGCGATAGGGGATGGGTAGTGGTAGAAGAAAGATCTGTCTTTAGGTCTTATGTGTGCACTACAAGAAATAAGGGTTTTTGCGGCGTTTTTTTAACAACGTTTTTTAAAACTTCATTTTTATTAATATTTAACAACGTTTAAAAACGTCGCATATTTTTTAAATTAAAACGACACAGTTTTGTGATTGAAGGCGTTTAAAAACGCCTCCAAATGCGGTAGGCCACACGCGCCTATTTTGAATCTGAGAATAAAGCCTTTGTAAGCCCTTAGGCCTTCAGACATAAACCAACATTGGATCCTCACGTCGCCTCCCCCAACCCTCTCTAAAACCTTATTTTGAATCTCACCTTCAAATCGCACAGATTCACCAATTTTGAAGCTCCACTGCCACCACCATCTACGCCGGCGAGGTAGCGAGATTCACGAATCTCACAGATTCACCTAAATTGTATTATTGAAGTTATTTGGAGAATGAGAGTAGTTTATTTTGTGAATACGAAGCTGTGTAATTACATTTATGGTTTTATGATAGTTGTTAACTTCTATTAAGCTGTGAAATTACTTTCCAATTCCAATTCCAGTATGGTATTCTAGCAGCTTTAACTTTAACAACCTCATCAGCTCTATTTATTGGTGTAAGAGTAAGATGAGCTTTAGGCTTTTCTTGATTCCATTTAGTTAATTTGTTGGCTCTCTTGTTTTCCTTAATTTTCCCACAGTTCCTCTCTCATTTTCTCTCACTTTCTCGCCCCAGCAAATTCCGACGAACGGTCTCCAGCAAGAAAAGGTGAGTAGAACCCTAGTCTGGTTTTATCAGTTACCTATACCATCAATATCCATATCGTTAGATATTTTCTTGAATATGCTGAACATATTCATTTGTCATCAATGTGAAGGATAATTTTCCGTTGTTGTTTTGTGGAGAAGAATCTTTATTGTATAACATGATTTTGAAATTTTAGGTGTTAAGTATTTTTTTTCTTAAAGTTAGATGACAACTGCTACAATCAGTTTTCTTTTCCTTGTTTATTTGGAACATATGTCTTTCTCACTTATGCTTGGTTTCATTTCAATGTGTGGTGCTCATGCTTGTTAGATTGATGACTATGAAAAATAGAAGGTGCTCATGCTTGTTAGATTGATGACTATGAAAAATAGAACTTATGTGCTCTTGATCTATGATATTAGGCTCTTCATCTCAGGTACATTTTTCAAATCAATTAATTCTTTGGTAGTCAATTTTGTTTCAGATTATTGAACCTTAGCATGAATTATATAAATAAATGGCGTGGTTTAAGATTTTGTAGATTTGTTTGTTTTTCATTACTTTTGAGAAGATGTGGTAATTGATTTGCAAGACAGTTTGGGAAACTGATCTGTTCTTAGTAATTTTTTCATGGATTAGATAGCTCATACTATGGATGGTCTCATGATCTCAGAGTGACAATGTATGAGAGTATTTGGGTGTTTGCAATTAATTAATCTATTTGGTAATGCTTTGTTTGAAGTTTTCCTTCCTCTTTCATGTTGGACCTTCTTTCTCATGGGTACTCAAGAGGAGTATGATGAGAATGTTGCTTGACTTGAAATAAATAAATAAAACCAGTTTTTAGTCATCGATATATATTTTGAGCATCTCCACTCACTTGAATGCTCATAATTAGTTCTTTATTTGAACGTAATAATTAATAAATTAGTGAATGAGAAGAAATATTTTGACATATAATTGGTGATATATAATTAGCGATCTTGAGAAAAACAGGGAGAAATTACAATTCAGCCTGTTTGATTAAAAATATTTACAAGTTTCTCACCTTTTGTGTAAAAAAATAGAGCAAGAGTTGCTCTCCCATAAATTTCTCACCTTTTGGTAATTTTGCAACCTTTTCGCCCCTTTTTTCTACTTTAGTGAGTTTACTTTACATATACACTAGGAAATTCTTATTTAATATTCCTATATACTTGTATAGGTGAGACTTGTGTGTAAAAAAATTGGACTCAGTGTGATTCCTCTCATTTTGAAACAAAGGTACATCACTTAGCTCATAATTTTAAAAATGTTGTTCCCACTTATTATGGATGAGATTTACATATAAAAATTCAGTATGGTTACATAATTCACATGGTTGCTAATGTATTTGCATGGTGTGATGTGCGCATGAGCTTATGAATATGATTGCGTTTTGTGTACATTTGTTTCCTCGGTGTAGAGTGCGGTGGATACTGTGTTGGCAGATTCTGAGTGTTATGGCCTGGCCGGCTCAGATGTTCGAATGTCCTGTTTCGTTAACAAGGTAATACCTTTCCTTAATGTGATTGAACATGTAGTTAGTCACCCATCAAATATATAAATATAGATGTGTGCATCCACATATATGTGGTTAGTTTGGTGGTCTGACAACTAAGCATGGAATCTGTAGGCTTTAGTAAATGTTGGTGGTGAACTTGCAAAGGTTGTCCTTGGTCGAGTTTCAACAGAAGTGGATGCTTGTCTTGCGTATGACACACACAGCATTGTTAGGAAGGTATTGATTTCTTCCAGGTTTTTTAAGTTGAATGTAGGATGTTGGAACTTAAAAGGTTGATTAAATTTCAGTGAAGCTATGCAATCCAGTTTTTGCTAACAAATTTTATTACCTGACATAAGGTAGTGGGACCTATATAATTACGTGTGGTTCATTCACTCATGTCTATAATGAAGATACTGCCATAAGTTAATGGCAGTAAATATCATGCTTTCAATTACTTTTTTGGTAGTTCTTTCTATATTGATTTAACGTTCTGAGCAGCATGCTTTTGTCTTATCTCAAACTACTTTGAGTTGTTGCTCAGTATATTCAACCTCCATTGAATATGAACTGTTCAACAAAGGTTGTGACTCAATTTTTTTTTTAATTTTATATTTTCTTAATAAGGGATTTTCTCCCTGACCTGCTGAAACTGTATCATGGAATTGGCATCCCTTTAGAACGATTGTTGTTTAAAATTCCTTCAACTTGGCAAGTGAGTATCTGAGAAATGTGTGTATATTTTATATGTTAAGAACTGCATGACACATGAATGTTAGTAATTCTTTGTATTCCTTTGTAGCTTGTAATGTATGGGTTTCTACTCAGGGAATAGAGGCATCAAGAGTATTGGAATCTGAAGGCATACAGACACACTTGACTTTTGTTTACAGGTGCATTGTAGTGGAAGCTTGTCCGTCAAATATTGCGTTTGTTGGTTATGAAAACTTTGAATGAATTTTTATATTAATTCAGATGTGAAACTCCATTTATCAAGTGAACATTAACTGATTGTCGTGATGAAAATTAAGCTCATGTTCATGCCATTATATCTGGCAAATGTAATATACACGGGTGTTAAAATGTTTCATGTTAAAGGTCTCTGATCTAGCTATTGAAGTGATTTATATGGAAGGTGTGGTCATTCTATACATTTTGATATTTAGGATTTTGAGATACTCTAGTTTCTCCCTCTCTCAAAATAATAATGATAATAATAAATAATATAAAATAAAAAAAAAAATCGCATAATGAGCCTTGACTGCAAAGATGTTTGCTATGCATTATGTCCGAGTAAAAAAGTTGTGAAACATTCTTTTAAATACAAGCTTGGATCATTTTAAGAAAATCCTTCTGTTATTTTCTCGTTGACTAGTTTCTTGAACTTGCTTTATTGTTGCTATTTCAGTTTACTTGTCCCATCCCATTTGATGTCCTCTGAAATATTAAATTACACTGAAAATGAGGATTTTACTTTTTCATTTGTGCACGGCCAAGATGCCTATAGCATTTTAGTGTTACCTGATGACGGCACCAGTAATTTGCAATGTGAATCACAATTACTTTTCTTAGGCCACTCAAAAGTCCCCAACTCAACTGATGGCCAGGTGTGCTTGGATGCTGAATTGAATGGCCAAAACTAGGTCAATCTAGACATAGAAAATGCGAATGCTTATCCCCCATGCCTTGTGGATATGGACATTGAGAAGGGAAATTCATAGACACCTAAAACCGATGATGAAGATGTGGAAAAATTGAAGATTGAGGGTCCGTTAACTGTAAGTTCCATTTGTATATGCATACATGCATATACATTCTATATATGATCTCCTTATTTAAAAGTCAAAAACTTTTAAATTGGGTGACAATGTGGTGTGATAGAAATTGATTTATAATCAATTGGCTATACATACTGCCAGCATCCTTTGTCTCTAATTTTGTTATAGTATTAAATTGAAATATGATTTTTTTTAAACATCATGATTAAATAGCATTTGCAGAAGGCATTGCAGAGACAGATTAGCTTACAAATAGGGGAGAAGGTTGTGCAGCTTTTAATGAACGATAGCCTTGTGTCACCCAAATTCCCTTCTAGAGGTATATTGCATCCTCACTGCCTCTTTCCTGGTGAACTATTATTTCGTGTAAAACTCTGAAATTTACTTGTTTCTACATGGTCAATCCAAGCATTCAAGAATTGGCTTGAACTTTATCCTCAAAATATTGTGCCAAAGAGCAAGCTGTAATGGAGCACTTTTGCCACTAGAAATGTGTACTATACTAGGCTAGGATGCATGTTTCAATTTTCAAGTGTATTTCCTCTTAATGGCTGAAACTCGGATGTGCTTTATAGATTTAAATTGTTTTTCTTGTCATGGAATTCTAATTATTTTATTCAAACTTGTAATGTGTTTCATGTGTTTGAGCGATAGGCACCTGTATTTCCCAAGTCTCTGAAGTGTATTTGAATTTAGATTTTTTTTTTAAATAACAAGATATGGTTGATGTGTGTCCAACAGGTTTTCAGAAGTGCCCGATGAGTGTTGTGTTGGTGTTTGACACGACATGACACGACACCTTAAAAGTGTTCATGTTTCATAGGTGTCAACTGTTAATGCTATTCAGCTTACTCAACTAGAATTCAAATACTTTATGCATGATTGTATTTATGTAGTCTTTGTTACAATTATTTTTCCTTAGTTTGAAACTCAGATGTGCTTGTTTCTTGGTTTTGTCACTGCAGTTGATTTTACCATCAACAAAAAGAGGGGATTGTGGGTCAACACTGGAGGTAAAATCTACTTTTATAGTTTATTTTGCACAACCTGAACCTTTTGTGGACGGACATAATTTGACCTGCAACTGCTATATGTATGTTGAATAGAGAATGTTGGTTGTTTCTGCTATACGTATGCTTCAGTCTCTCTTATGCTTCCTTGGATGTGTAATCAAACAATTAGGGAGGACTTCACCTCTGCACATAAAATTCACAATGGCCAGGATATACAGTTATTGTTTTCTGTATCTATTTCAATTATAATTTGGTCCATCTGCATCAAAGTTGTGTCCAATGAGCTTGTCTTTTAACCATCATTTGTTTTTGCAGAGTTACAATCGGGATCTTTTCTTATTTCTCTACTTCCTTCTCATCATAGTTTCAGCAATTACTTCTTTCAAGATTCATCATGATAAGTCACCAATCTCAGGAAAATCCATACTGTATCTGAACAGGCATCAAACTGAAGAGTGGAAAGGTTGGATGCAGGTTAGTCATTTTTTAAGATGACATGTCTATTTCTTAGAATTGTCTAATTTTTAGAATTGTCTAATTTATTGTTACTTGTTTACAGTGTAAAAGAAACAATTTATTTCTTTTGTGTCTGTTTCTAGTGTCTCTTGTGATTTTTTTGGAAGTTTGAGTTCTAATCAATATAATTCCCTCCCACTCCTTTCAGTGTTTCTCTACTTGGAAACACTTCCTGTCTTGTTTGCATCTTGTAGTCAATCTATAGAAAATATTGGTAGTTGATAAAGAGAAGTAACTTTGAGATGGGAAATTGCAGTTGGAAATGGTTAGAGAGAGAGAGAGAGAGAGAGTCAACAAGTTGTTGAAAGTTTATTTATTACCCTGCTCTATAATTGGAACTAGGAGCAGTTTGTGAAGGGCTTGGGAATGTTGCCTTCAAGTTTAATTGAGGTGGGATGCTGATCAAATCTTTTGGTTATAGGACCTCCAAACTACACTCTATCTGAAGTCATTAATCCTGTGAATAAATTAAAGCTCTTTTCAGCCATAAGAATTTTGTTTTCACTTCCTAATCAGATGAAACATCTAGAATAACTTCTTCATGCTTAAATTCAACATTAACTTGCCATTCCTTGATGTCCATTCTTTTTTTTTTCTTCTAATTATCATGCAAGGATTAGCAAAGAACTTGGCTTGAGTAGCTCCTATTAAAATACCTTTACATGTTGGTCATCTCTTCTGAAATGCCCCCAGGAATGTCACATAATGCAGCTGGCCTAGAGGTTGCAGATGCACCAAGCTCATCTGAGATGCATGAATCAGATTCGTTTGGTTTGTTGCTGCTGCCGCCCTTGTGGTTGATGCTTGCTGAGCTGCTGCTGCTGCAATGTTGCTGTGAGGCGGCTGCTACTAGATGTTGGCCTGCTGGATAAGTTTGTGGATACTTTTCGTGTCGTTTTGCCTGTCTTTGTTAGTTTCATGTTTTCATTTTGTTATCTGTTGTTTGTAATGTGGGTTCACAATTTCGATGTATTTGGGTATTTTAGTGAGTTTACCCTTTCAGGTTTTATACACTACTTCTAAAAGTAGTATCAGCAGTGTTTTTTTTTTTTTGCTTGCACATCAACTTTAGGTGATTTCATATCAATGTTATTAGTTTGTAATAGTGGTGCCTGAGGGATGCCTCTTGTAAATCTGTAAATCTTATAAAAATATATAAATTATTTTCAATTGTTTTTGTTGGTAAATGCGTCGCCAAAAGTTTATTTTTGTCCACTCATATTGTGTTGCTAGAAGTGTATTTTTAGCCAATGCCAATTTGTCGTTGCCAAAAGTAAACCTTTATCGACAACAAATCGTCGGCAAATGGAAATATTTATCGACATAAATGTGTTGTTAAAAGTTTACTTTTGCCCACTCATATTGTGTTACTAAAAGTGTACTTTTCGCCAATGCTAATTTGTCATTGCCAAAAGTGAAGATTTATCGACAAACAAATCGTAGGCGAAAGGCAACATTTATCAACGTAAATGTGTCGTCAAAATTTTACTTTTGCCGACGCATATTTTGTTGCTAAAAGTATATTTTTTGCCCATGCAAATTTGTGTCGCGAAAAGTGTCACACAATCATCATATTTGAATGACTTTTACCGACGCCAGGTAAATTGCCGACGATGGATGAAGGCTTTTAACGACGGCTATGTTCGTCGCAAAAGGCATTACCTTTACCAACGCAAAGATAAGTTCGTTGGCAAAAATTTTTGCCGACTCACTTTTACCTACGGGTTGCCAACGTAGCTTTCTGTGTCGGCAAAACTTTTTGCCAACAAATTTTCCCTTTCAGCAACATATTTTGTTGCGTTGCGAAAAATGCAATTTCTTGTAGTGTAAACACCATAATTACATATCTGCCATCACGCAAGAGGGTCGGAATAAGTGTCCGAGTGTTTATACCCTAATGCATGAGAAATGACGATTAAACACCATAATTACATACCTGCCATCTTGCAAGAGGGTCCGAATAAATGTCCGAGTGTTTAAACCCTAATGCATGAGAAATGGTGAATACACACCATAATTGCATATCTGCCATCATGCAAGAGGGTCCGCATGAGTTTCCGAGTGTTTAAGCCCTAATGCATGTGAAATGGCAAGTAAACAACATAATTATATATCTGCCATCTTGCAAGAGGGTCCAAATAAGTGTCCTAGTGTTTAAACCCTAATGCATCAGAAATGGCAAGTAAACACCATAATTACATATCTGCCATCATGCAAGAGGGTCCGAATGAGTGTCCGAGTGTTTAAACCGAAATGCAGGAGAAATGGCAAATAAACACCATAATTACATATCTGCCATCATGCAAGAGGGTCGTAATAAGTCTCCGAGTGTTTAAACCCTAATGCATGAGAAATGGCGATTAAACACCACAATTACATATCTGCCATCATGCCAGAGGGTCCGAATAAGTGTCTGAGTGTTTAAATCGTAATGCAAGGGAAATGGCAAATAAGCAACATAATTACATATCTGCCATCATGCAAGAGGGTTCGAATAAATGTCCAAGTGTTTAAACCCTAATGCATGAGAAATGGAAAATAAACACCATAATTACATATCTACCATCACGCAAGAGGGTCCGAATACGTTTCCGAGTGCTTAAGCCCAAATGCTTGTGAAATGGCAAGTAAACAACATAATTACATATCTGCCATCATGCAAGAGGGTCCAAATAAGTGTCCGAGTGTTTAAA